TCTAGAAGTTTTGAATTAGAAGAGACCTTGAGATCAGCACACTGGGCCTCTTTATTAAAATGAAAGCTAGGAAGACAACTTAGAACATCAGAAACAGAAACAACCATGTGTCCTCTGAGTATGTTCTAGTTCAGCTCTGGAATGTCCTCCAGAAGCTCTTGTGTTGATGGCTTGGTCTTCATCTGGTTGTGCTATTGGGAAGTGGAAACTTGTTGGAGGAAATAAACCATAGTCATACAGGGTATATATGAGAATCTCGGCCTCTTCCTATTTCTGCTTATAAACTGCCATTACGTGAGCAGTTTGGCTCATTGCATTCTTTGCAATGATACTCTGCCTCATTAAAGGTCCATAAATAATGGAGCCAAGTGACCATGGACTGAAACCTATGAAACCGTGATCCAAAATAAATGTTTCCTCCCTTAGATTTTTATAGGTATTTGTCACATCATTTACAAGATGATTAACAAAGAGTTTATCCTCTGCTCTCCTTTTAAATGTAAATCATTGTCCTTTGTCCTCTTCTACATGGGCTGATGTTTGGGAAGAGAGCAGAGCCTGACTTGAGAGAGCAGACAGTGGCCCTTTATGGCATATAGTCCACTCTTTACAGTCTGAGTGGTGGAAAGTCACTATAAATGGGAGGTGAACTCATTAATTCAGATGAACATTCTTAGGAAAAAGAAAACATTGAGCAGAGATGCCAGAGGAACTTACCAGAAGTATAGGATTTCTGAATCATCATTGGACAAAGGAGAAGCACTCGAGAGACTGGTTCAGGGTAAGCAGCTCTGGGACCTGTGAGAAGAGGCCACTCCAGTGTATTCACATGGGAGGAAATTAAGAATGGTCAATTTTTCACATCACCCAGGGGAAGAGACATTTATATTGGGTGAAACTCACTCAGGTGCAGCTTTAGTCATACTAGTGTGTTGGTCCGGACAAGTTGTACACCCACTCCATGCCTCTGTATTTTTACTTAGGTTTACACTCATGCCTTTCCCTTATTTACCTGGTAAATATTAATGTAGCATGTATTCTTTTCTTTGCCAAAATGTGCAAGATGGTAACCTAGAATGCGTCTTTTATTTAAAAAACTTTTTTTCAGAGTGTGTTTGTTTTTCTAACATGGAATTAGATAACGTAATGTCTGGTGTCTATCAAATGCTTCATAGTTGATAGAATTGTTATTAGTGTTATGTTACTGGTCTAGGAAATATAAGTTTCTTGGCTGTTGAAAAGGAGTAAGGTGATAAATAATTTGGCATGAAAATGAACAAAAACTTGATTTTGCAGGAATAGTACAGTTCTGAAGATGGTCTTTGTCTGACACTAGGAGGTAATTTTTAAATTTGGCTTTATTTTGTTGTTTTCTTGTTTGTTTTCAGAATGTTTTTTTGAAAGAAAGGTAACAAGGCATCTAAAAATATGTTTTCTCACATATTTCTGCAAAACTAGAATTGGACAGGATGGAGGCTTTTCACTCCACCCTGCCCTTCCCCTACATCCTGGGTGACAGAGGCACATGCAGGCTAGCACCTGCCCTGACCTAAAAGACCAATGACTGAAACTTGCACAAACGGAAGGATCCTGCCCTTTGGCTAACAGCACAGGGCCAGAGAACTGAGCTGCTGCTTTGAAGGAGGACAGACTTGTTTATTAAGAAAATACTTTATGTATTAGAAATAAAGCATAAAGTTTCCTCTAGCCTCCCAGCATATTAGCCACAGCTGCCAACTTACAGCACATGCACTGCCACCTTTTTATGACTCATGATGGGCAAGAGAATAGGAATCTGCAGAGGAGTTCTCGGACCTAGTAGAGTCTCCTTGTGAGGTGAGAGAATGTCCTTAAGGTAAGCAAGATGCTTTAAACCTTGTGATTAAATCCATCCCAGTGGTGTTACCAAATGCTCCCCAAAAGTCAGGTATTTTGTGGGAGATAAAATATAATATTCTACCATGCATGTCAGTACTCTTCAGTGTTGTGTGAGAGCATCAGACAAGGTAGTGAGGGGGTGAAATCGGCATCATTGACCGGTTCCATATGCTGGGGGCACCCTGTTGATGGCAGAAATAATATGAACTATCCTGGGCTGTTGTAAGAGTTGTCTGAATAAATCTTTTACAATCCTTGAGACGGAAGCAGGTGGAGAGAAGGGGATGCAGCAGCTGGGCCCACTGGGTCAGTGGTAACATTCCTTGTTACCCCAATTTCTGGACGAGTTCCGACTTTCCAGCGCTTGCTTGATTGGGAGACTAGTCAGAACAGACCTGTACTCTGATGTGGTTGTGAAGGGTATTCACTTACTTTCCCTAGATGGCTATGAATCTGTTATAAACTAAGGGTATATGAGGAGAAACTCATGGCTACAGAAATTGGAGCTTGGTATCTGGATCGGATTTCTTTCTCTGTGCCAGGGGCTTTCTGTGACTTGCTTGGGACACTGGTGGCTGAGGTAATTATAATGCATTTCACTTGGGGAGAGGAAGTAGATGGTTTGAAGACCCACACAAACCTTCAATGACTAGATCCAAGGTCTCACGGGGAGATAATTTTGCAAGAAATGAAATAATTGGACAAAGGATAAAGAAAAAAAAATGGAGATACAAAGAAAAGAATCTTTTATTTTTAGCAAATGCATATTCCATTTGATACAATATTTTTTCCCCATTGATCTGATAAATTCACCATCTTTTTTGTTCCAGGTATTTCACAGACTTATACAGTGCTGGGTTTTCAGTTCAGGAAGTTGAATCTGTGGGATCCAATATGGGACGCTTCTTCACTGAACCCTTGGCCTTTGCCTTCACATTTACTCCCCAATATGAACTTCATGCTATGAACTATGTAAACTGCCATATGTTCGGCTTAAGACAATGAAGGGAATCATTGGTAGAGCTATAAGAAACCCTATAGTTTCTTGAGCACTGTCATCATCAGCCTATTTAGTGTAGTTGTAAAATCTTACTAAGAGGAGCTGGAGATTTAGCTCAGCATCATAAGTGCCTGCCTTGCAAGCATGTAGTCATGAGTTCGATCAAAGAAAATCTTACAACCTTTTTCCCTTCCATCATTCCTTTCTTTTTTCTTCCTCCCTACCTCCCTGACTTCCTGCCTCCTTCCATTTCTTCCTCCTCCCTTTAGCTATCAGATATTTGTGAGGTATTCTCCTTGGTACTTTCTGTATTCTAGGCCTTGAGGATAAATGATTCCCTCATTCTCCAGTCTGAGAGAGTTTGCCATCTGCTTGGTGAGGCAGCACAGAAACAGATAATTTCAGAAAGAAAAACTAATAGTGATATATCAAAAGAATTATAAGAAAACAAAAATTATATGAGAAATATTGTTTATACAATGCTATAATAGTTCTGTATACCATTGCTATATCATGCATAACCATGAATTATGCTGTTTATGTAGTACAAAGACCATGCCATTGCTCTTAGATTAACAGTTAAATTTATAATCATCTTTCATAAACATGATACCCTATATTGCCACTAAACTTTGGTAGAATGTTTTCATATCTAACACACTATTGTATACCAGAAATGTTGTTTGTGGTTTTAAGCAAATGTACCAATGATAACCAACCATTTGAAGAAAGTAAATCATCAGGCAGTGAAATAAGTGATCATTATAGATAATGTAAAATTGAGGGAGCATGTGGCCTTATGAAAAGACAGAACTCCAGGGACTGTAAAATGGAAGAAGGCAGTTGGGGCCAGCATTAGAGCCTCTTACATTGTTGAGGGGAGGGAGGCACACATGGGGCTCTGAATCCTGAGTACCCAGGGGGTCGGGGGAATACTCACAGCTAATAGCTGAATCAAGCTGTGTGTTTATGCTTTCCTAGGCATCTGTGCAAGTTAGAGGGGTTCTCACTTACTGTGGAAATCAGCCTCAGTCCAGTACCTTCCACCTGCTCTTCTTAGCCCTTTAGATCTTTTGCTCTGTTTCTGTGATCCCTTTTTTCATGTTCTCTCCATTTCTTAATGGAGGCTGTACAAATATTCTGTTTCCTCTTTTATTCTGTTCTATTTGGTGTGAATTTTCAAAGGAAACTGCATTTGGAGTGAACTCTTAGTATTCAGCTGCAGGCAGAAATCTTTTATGAGAGCTTCCTAACTTTGAAATACTTGGTCTTTCAAAGTGGATTTTTAATACTGGTTAGAAAGAAAAAAATATGAGTTCGTTCCTCATGTATGTGTATATATGTACATGCGTATATATGGCATCTATATGTGTATGTCTGTATCTGCATCCACATTTCTGTCAGTCTACTTACTTAGCCTCTAGATTAGAGTGGAAGAATGAAAGGGGAAGGAGAAAATTCACATAGTTTTTTAAAAAATAGTACTTGCAGGAATTCTGTAGTGGAAAGGGAGGATTTACTGGGGAGGGAAAGAAGCCACTTAAAAGAAATCCAATATTTAGGAGTTAGTTTTATATTTTTAATTTATTGGTTGTGCTTACAGCAAAGCAAGACCATGCATACATCAAATAGTAACTTAATATAATGATATATTGCACTTGGAAGATTTTTTTTCATTTAAAGAGGAAAAAAGTAAACAGAAAAAAGGGAAGCAATAATATGAAATTTCAAAAAACAAAACCACTAAGAAATCAGTAGTTGACAAATTACATACTGTCATCTTAGAAATAGTTGTTCAAGTTACAAAATTAAAAGCACACAAAGTGGACATTCAAACAGTGAGAATGCAAACAGTTCTCTGTTCAGCGATCCAACAAAAACTTAGTAATATGATTATTAATCATAAACACTTAAACACACATGCAGTCATATCCTTTAGAGCACTTTCTTTTCCTTTCCTTTTGACAATAGCAGTTACACATTTTGGGTTTTATTATTCCTACAGTTCTTACTGATTTTTACACTAGAGACACAATGTGATATTTATAAATATGATTCTTATTTATTTCACTTATGAGAATAGTCTCAAGTTGCCTCTATTTCAATATGAAGGCTTCAAGATAATCATTTTTATAGCTGAGTAATATTCCACATGTCATCCTTACGCAGGGGCCATGCTAATCTTCTCTGTATCGTTCCAATTTTAGTACATGTGAGCATTTCACTTGGAAGCTTTAGTGCTACTTTTGAAAAGTCTGTTTATTGTTTAGAATATAAATAAATGAAAGATGGCTCTGTATATAGAAGAAAAGTGTGAATTAATTTTAGAAAATAAATAAATGAAATGTGGCTCTATGTAGAAGACAGGAAGTGTGAATTGATAGTGTTCTTTCTTTTAAGTAATCTTAAAATTAAAATAAAATAGTATGAACATTATTATTAATCATTTTAGAGTGTACCAAACTGAATGAACTTTGCTCATACTTAAAAGTCATCCAAAAAATAAAAGCCAAGTATTAGTCCTTAAAAATATTATGTTCATAGAAATTTTCTCAGTAATAATTATGATATACTATTTCAATCTATTCTTCACTAAAAATAGACCAAAAAGGAAAAAAAAAAACTGAGTTGTCTGTGGTGTTTATTTACTGAATCAGTTGCAAAATAGAAATTGCATTTTTCAAGAATTTAAATGAAAATTAAAATTTTAAAATTTCACAGCTGGACAAATAGAGACACTATAGATAAATCTACTTAAAGTGGGGCAAAAAACTTATAGTTAAGAGACAAATACAAATCAACAGGAAAATGATTAAATGATTAAAAAACTGTAAAAAATTAAATATGAGTATCATTTTAATATGTTTTGCATAGAATTAAGCATCAGTTTAATTCCATTAACTTTTTTCCAATTCATTAAGAATCTCTTCCATATTGTTTTGTTTAAGAGGAACTGAGGTAATTGCTATGGTTTGGGATACTTTCAGTTGTTTACTAATTCGTTGGAAAAGGCTATGTATCACTGCCCTACAGTGATTTCAATTATTAGAATAATTATTTTCTGCAGTGCTAGGAGGCTTCAATTTAGAGATTTGTGTTTTTATTTCTCAAAATAAATAATTATCACCAACATTAAGCTGTAGAATATCTTCTTTATATAGTATTTTAGGTGACAATGATGATATAATAGTACAGACAATTTGTCTTAGGCAACCCTAGCTGATGAAAAAATATTTTTCTGAAATTTTAGTATTTGCCAGAAATTTTAGTGTCTTAAGGTTTCCAGAGTTGGATAATACACTTTTTATTTGTTATTTTCAGGATATTTATTTTACATTTATGATTTAAAACACCTCATTTTTTAAAATACTTTTTTAGCATGAAAGTTGAGAATATCAGTCAAAATTTTCTTCCTAGAACTTATTTTAAATATCTAGGGCTATTTAAAATATTGTTTCATGAAGAAAATTAAGAATGGACACGACAGACTTTCCAAAAATTTCAGCAAAGTTTGGTGGAAAGAATATAGAAGCAAAAACATTGATGGACCAATTGCTAGATACCCTATTGCTTTTTATTTTAAAAATAATAAAAACCCAATAAATACATCATAGAATTATAAAACAAGATGATAGGAAATTAACAGTGGTTATTATATTGCATATTGTTGTCTTCAAAATAGTTGCTCATATTACCAGATATAGATGTGCAAAACTGATAAAAAATATAAGCACTGTTACTTTCAATGAACTAATAGACTGAGTAGAAAATTATTTTAGATATCTTGTATATATAAATATTTTTCCCTTTTCTCTTTCCCTCCATACCAGTTTTTCCCTTTTGAGTAGTTTCTTTCCCTTTCACAATATCTATTGTACCTTTTGGATCTTACTTACTTTTCAGGTTCTTACACTAGGGAGACAATATGATGTTTACAATGTAAGTCTGATTTACTTTACTTATGAGTATGTTCTCTAGTTCTATCCATATACCTGTAAAAAACTTGAGTTTACTCTTCTTTATAGCTGAGTATTACTCCATTGTATAAAAATTCCTCATCCTTTTTTATCCATTCCTTAGCTGATAGACATTTGAGTTGTTTCCAAGATTTAGGGATTGCAGACTGTGCTGTAGTAAACATGGGTGCACATATATATGTAAACCAATAAATGTAATCCACTACATCAATAAAGCCAAAAGTAAGAAACACATGATCATTTCTATAGATGCAATAAAAGCTTTTGATAAGATCCAACACATATTCATGATAAGAACCTTACAGAAAATTGGAATAGATGTCTTTACCTCAATATGATAAAGGCCATCTATGACAAACCAACAGCCAGCATCATATTAAATGGCCAAAAACTGAAGGCCTTTACCTTAAAATCAGGCATAAGACAAAGGTGACCCTTATCACCACTGTTATTCAACATAGTAATGGAAATACTAGCCAGAGCAATTAGACAAGAGAGAGAAATAAAAGGGGTAGATAGGAAAAGATGAAGTTGAATTATCATTATTTGCAGATGACATGATACTCTACATAGAAGACCCCCAAAACTCCACTGAAAGACTCCTAGATATAATAAGTAAATTCAGCAATGTAGCTGGATACAAAATCAAAACTCAAAAATCAATAGCATTTCTATGCACTAACAAACAAAATCACTGAGAGAGAAATAAGAGAAGCCACACCCTTCAGAATAGCATTCAAAAAAATGAAATACTCAGGAATTAATCTCATGAAAGAAGTAAAAGATCTATCCAGAGAAAATTATAGTACCCTGAAAGAAGAAATTGAAGAGGATATCAGAAAATGGAATTGTACTGTAATTTCAAGACAGAGATTGTGATGCTTTCTTCTTGCCTTTGTTACTTAGGATTATCTTTGCTATTCTAGGTCTCTTGTGATTACAAATAAAATTTAAGAATATTTTCTCTAGACCTGTGAGGCATACTAATAGTATTTTGATCAGGATTGCATATTGATTTGCATACAACTTGTATACTAGATTTGAGAGTATGGCCATTTTCACAATGTTGGTTCTTCCTAACCAAGAGCAAAGAATATCTTTTCTTTTCTGAGGTCCTCTTTGATTTTTTCAGAGTAGTATAATTTTCAAAAATATATATATATATATATATATATATATATATATTTCTCTTGTTAGATTGATTCCTGAGTATTTTTTTTTTTTGGATGCTATTGTGAAGCATGTAATTTCCCTAATTTCTTTCTCAATGAGTTTATTGTATGTATACAGGAATACTATGGATTTTTGAGTACTGAATTTCATCCATCTATGCCACTGAATTTGATTATTAAATCTAAAAGTCTTTTGGAGTCTTGGGGATCTTATATGTAGTGAATCATGTTGTCTATGAATAATGGTAGTTTTACTTCTTCCTTTCCTATTCTTATTCCTTTTGTTTCCCTCTCTTTCTAATTGTTCTGTCTAAGGTTTCTAGAATGATGTTGAATAAGAGTGGTGATAGTGAAAATTCTTGTCTTTTTGTTGAATTTAGATCAAAAACTTTCAGTTTTTGTTCTTTTAGTATGATGTTAGTGTTGGTTAGTCATAAATGACTTTTATTGGATTGAGGTAAAGACCATCTATTCTGATTTTCTGATAGGACTTATATATTTTTATTTAAAAAATAGATAAAAGGGTAGAAATGATACAGAACTTCAAAAAATAACATTAAGAAATCATGTCTAGTTGATACATTACATATTGTTATCTTAGAAGTAGTTGGTCAAGTTACAAAATCAAAGCATAAAAAATGAACAGACAATCGAACAGTAAGAGAATTTCAAGACAAAATAACATTAAGCAATCATCTCTAGTTGATATATTACATGTTGTTATTGTAGAAGTTCTGATAGGGTTTTTATCATGAATGGATGCTGGACTTTGTCAAATGTTTTTCTGCATCTATTGAGGTGATCATATGATTTTTGTCCTTGACGCTGTTAACATTTATGGATTTACACATGTTGAGCCATTCGTGCATTCCTAGGATGAATCCCACTTGATCATGATGTGCAATCTTCTTGATGATTTGCTGCAGTCTGTTTGCCAGTATCTTATTGAAGTTGTTGCATCAATGTTCATTGAGGACATTGGCCTGTAATTCTGTTTCTTACTTGGATCTTCTCTGGTTTTGGAATCAGAGTGATATTTGCTTCCAGGAATGAATTTGGAAATATTGCTTCCCTTTCAATTTCATTAAAGAGTTTGAGAAGTAGTAGTGTTACTTCTTCACTAAATTTCTTGTAGAATTCAGCAGTCAATCTATCAGAGCCTGGACTTCTCTTTATTCATAGGTTTTTAATTGTATCTTCAATTGGACTTTATCAAAAGCTTTTTGTGCATCTATTGAGAGGATCAAGTGATTTTTGTCTTTGGTTTTGTGGATATGGTGTATTACATTTTTGTGAAAGCTCGGACCCCAGAATAAAACCCAAGGAAGCAAGAAATTAAAATTTGAGGAGCAAAGGCTTTATTTTAGGCCAGGCCTGGGGTCACAGTCTCCAGGAGCCAATTTGCAGACTGTGTGCCTCACAGCTGAGGGATTAAGCTTTTAAAGCTAAAAACCACAGGAATGTTGTAATCCCTGACACAGCTAGATAGCATCTGGGCCTTACGAAACTTCCTGTAATTTCCTTGAAGTTAAGCATTTCTTAAAGAACAGCACATTTTATTACAGATACCCGGATGAGGGGTAGGGGAGGGGCTTACAGGAAACTGATACCTAAGGCTTTTACAGTTTTCTCAGGAAATAGAAACTTAACCTAGAGAGATAGGAAGGGAGGGGGATTTATAAGGAGCTGAAACTTAAGTCTTTACTGGAGATGGAATTTTAATCTCTATTGAAATGGTGCATACACAACAGGAAGGGGGCACATTGGTTAGAACTAGGTTATAACAAGTTTTGCTTTGCAAATGTTGAACCATTTTTATATTTCTGTATTGAATCCCATTTTGAAATGGTGTGCAGTCTTCTTGAAGATTTTCTGCAATTTGTTTGCTAGTATTTTATTGAGAATTTTTGCATTTATGTTCATTAGGGAGACTATCCTGTACTTTTCCTTTTTCATTTGGTCTTTATTCTCGTTTTGGTATCAGGGTAATACTTGCCTCTAGAAATGAGTTAGGAAGAATTGATTCCTTTCAATTTCATTGAAGAGTTTGAGGAGTGTTGGTGTTAAATCTTCTCT